TTTCTTATGAATTTCTTATCGGATTCTTATAAGAGACTTACGGCTGTCGATGGGAAATCTTAAACAATCTTATGTAAGAAACTGATAAGATTCTTATAAGAATCTTATCAGTTTCTTATAGGAAACTGATAAGTTTCCTATAATATTCTTACAGGTTTCTTATATAAGAATCGATGTCTAGGGAACATGATGCCGATGAATATTATACTTCAAAAAGCTCTCATTGGATAAAAGATTCGAGAAAAGATTCATCACTATTAACTACCTCACTTTTCTCTATATCACCATCTGAAATACCATGGCCACCAGGATCAGAAACCTGGGACAATAAACCAAAACAGCAACGACAAACGTTCAAATCTCAATCACTGTCATTAGCTGAGCGGTTATCTGAATCACAAAGTATGAATGCAACAGATTACCGCACCAGTTATAACTCAAATTCATCACAGTTTGATGCACAAGCAACAACCACACAGTTAGTTCTTTCAGCGTCAACTGAATTTGTTTTAGCTGAATCAGGTTGTTCAGACACAACAGGATTTAATACCCACTGTGATTCAGGATCATTACCATATGAAGCAGCAACAACTAATTTTTCTCACTTTGGGCCACCCGGTTCTGAAATCTGGGAAGATCAACCAAAGGAACAACGAGGAGCGTTCAAACGTGCTTCACTTTCGGAAGCCCTTACACCATCGTCATCTGAAACTGCAACTGGTTTTTTTCATGATACAGTATTACCAATGACACTTACTAAGGTCAATGAAACATCACCATGAAACAAAAGATTAAAACATCACGCTCAAGAATATTGAACGTACAAACAACAAAAACGCAACAGTTTCGTTGGTCTCGGGTGAAAATTATCTGTCTAATCCTGCAACTTCTTTAAGTTTAACAAAACCCCTAGTATCGAAATCCAATTCGCTATCAGAATGGTTAGTAACATCAATCTCACTGGCTGTACTAGTGTCAGTGTTCCTCTTCTTACATAAACATCGACTATTCATACAGAATCATCAACATTTTCTCGATCCTGACCCGTTATTAACCAAAACTGACCTACCAGACCCAATCACATTATTTTTCTTGGGTAAAACTCATCAGTCAATACATCGATCGAATGTGTTTTCAATATTCCGTCACTGGAAATGGAATTATAAATAGCCTTAGATTATTACGCGGACTTCTTATTGTTTACGGACTATTGGACTTATTCGGACAATGAACCATATATTCAAATGTATTGGACTCTCCCAATGTTACGTTTAACGTATCTCTTCTTGGATTCTACGGACCTTGATGTTGATACTCAAAATGAAAATGATATATGTTGTTTTAACCCTTTGAGGACGGGTAATAGTGGCGACACCCCTGTAACTCAAGAGCCATGATAGCTAAGTACTTCTAATTTTGTGTGATCATAGCTCTTACCAAATGCTGATCACCCACCAAGTTTGCACCTCTTTTACTGGATGGTTCATGAGATATA